GGATTCTCCTTTAATCCCCTCACCCCTTCCCCCAGTGCAGGGTAGCAAACCGGACGTGCGTCTGGTTGACCTCTCCGCCTTTCATTTCTTCCCTTCCTCCTCCTCCTCCTCCTTGGTGGTACTTCTGACTGTCATCTTCGAGTTCAAATCGTGCTCGAAAGCTCACACCCCGACTTTCGTTCTGTGCATCGTTCGTAATTTTTTTTCGCTCACCCGACAACTCTGACACGGAACTTCTGGAACGTGATTCCCTTTTCCCTTTATTTTTTCAACGCCAACGGCTTAGAATGCTCTCGTGCACTCACGAAATCATGCAGGCCTCAAATTGCACGGGAAACACTCCCTGCACCAACACTTGAAGCGGTGTCCGGCTCCTCCCTGCCTGGAGATCAGCAACACGTGCACATATGCACACCCCACAAACTCATGCATATAAAGAACCCACGCAGGCTTCCTTTTGAGCAAAGGAAGGCTGCATGTAGTAAAACTAACCAGCAAATCAACAAATTTGTCTTGTTTAATTAGATTTCCCGAGCTGATTACACAGGATGATGTAGAAAATGTCCGAGAATAATAAGAATGGGTCTCAAAGGGGAGCGTTGGGCAGGAATTATAATGAGTCATAACAGATATAGGTTATTCGAGTGCACACAACTCATTCATTTCATAAGTGCACTGTATATCATATATATAAATACATCAACTATAACCCGCCATGCATGTCTGTCTATAGCGGATATATGTGCTCTGCTGCTGACCCGCAGGTCGCGGGGTTGAATACCGGCCGCATTTTCGATGGAGGCGAAAATGCTCAAGGCGGCTGAGTATACTTGAATGTATACATAGGTGCATTAAAAAAAAAAAAAACACGTACTAGAAATTTTCAGAGCCCTCTATTACAGCGTCTTTCATAATCGTGTCGGAGTTGTGGACCCCTTAAATTATTATTATTATTATTATTATTATTATTATTATTATTATTATTATTATTATTATTATTATTATTATTATTATTATTATTATTATTATTTCTACTGTAGCATAGTCACTTCAAATACCATTTGAACTTTGCATAATCGACCCCATCCATGCGCTTTGATCGTACTCGAGCCCCACAGCAAAAGACTAATAGGTGACCATATATTGCAGTCACCCCAGATGCTGCAATATAATTATTTTCTCATGATGGAAGAAGTTAATGATGACACAATGCAATCTTGTTATTTATTTATTTATTTATTTATTTATTTATTTATTTATTTATTTATTTATTTATTTATTTATTTGTGAAAAGATATGAGATGGTACAGCTACGTTATAGCCGGCTATATCTCAACATATGTAGTTCGCCTGTCTTGTTAATTGTCGTTTCCTTTGATTGTTTCAGATGACTCTGCATACATTTATGATCCTCCTTGAAAATTTAGGATTATCGCATGTTCTGTACTTTTGTGTTGTATTTTCTTTTTCAATTTCATGTTTCTAGTATTGTCACTAACATTTATGTAGCCACCCCTGCTTACGCCCGAATAACGCCGAATTATTCGTAAATAAATAAATAAATAAATGATTAAATAAACGAATAACATGAAGTATTCAACAAACGGGAAACAACCGCTATCTTCTATTGCGAACACATTGAACGGCACTGCAGAGCACTGAAACTGTCATTTGTTTACAGATTGATTGATTAATTTGTGGGGTTTAACGTCCCAAAACCACCATTTGATTATGAGAGACGCCGTATTAGTGGAGGGCTCCGGAAATTTTGACCACCTGGGGTTCTTTAACGTGCACCCAAATCTGAGTACACGGGTTTGTTTACAGAAAAAAAAAAGTATACGCAAAAAGAAAAACTTTGAAAAGAGCGGCACAAGGTAAACAAGATCAAGCACTATATATGAAATGAAATTTCAGAGGCTATATTGAGGCCTCAGACGGTCTTTATAGACGATCATCTCACGCACTAGTTCTTTCTTGTAAAAAAAAGGCTTCAGCAGCAGCCTCGCTTATGTGTAATTTAAAGGATTACATCACTAAATCAGCTTCGCGCTATATACGGTTGTCAAGTGTGAACGATGAGAGGTCTTTATTTCTCTTTATTTTTCTTTTTCGTCCTTTTTCTCCTCCTCTGCTTTATTTTTTCCTGACTTATTTCTGTCTCTTTATTTCTATTAAGTCCTTCCTCTCTTTTTATCTATTTGTTTCTGTTTCTTGCTATTTATATTTACCTCCCTATATTTTCTTTTCCTTTCCTCCTCTTGTTTCTCTATTGCTGCCTTTTTTTTTTCGTTCTATACGTGGTTTGGCATGCGTACACACAAAGCGCACCATTTATTTATTATTTAGTTATTTGTTTGTTTATTTATTTGTTTATTTATTTATTTATTGCTGATTATATCATTATCAAGACGCTGAAAGAACAAAAAAGCAGATATCTTGGCGCGAACACGATTCACGGCCTATCCATGGGTTGCGGCAAGATGTTGTGGAACCAACCAACCGCATGCTCAATACGGCACACACGGAGTGTTACGCCAAGCGACGACGACAGAATACAACACACGACAGCTCAGCCCCCCTATATAAGTGCTCCGCACTTAACATCCATGGTTTCTTGAGTCGAGTGCTCCACAACTGACGTGTGTATATAAACGGTTCCAGCAGCCATGCATGAACATGAGCCCAAGCACGCGTGGCTGCATGTTAGCCCATTAAGACATGATCATGCATGAGGTCGCCATGCTCAGATGCAGCCATATAAGCGTGGCTGAATGTGAGCCCGTGCATATACATGCAGCCGTGCATGGGATCACATGCATATTCAAGCAGCTCCTAGATTACCTGTTGTATGAAAGTGAAATTAAGTAAACCATGTTACGTCGACAATACGTTGTACACCTTTTTTTTTTCAAAACAGTTCGCTCCATTTTCGTTTTCCTAATCAATCTTATAGAAAAGTACGTGTTATCGTTCCCACTTAAGAAGAAAAAAAAAAGGACTTCATAATAAACGGGTCAATAAACATTCGCCTATAAACCTTAAACATTTTTCATGTATACTTCTTTTCGCCCTATATATCTGAGTATCGCATGCACAAATAACAAGTGCAAGTTTCTGTTGCTTTTTTTATTTCCACATCATGCATGAGTGAAACATCTTCCGTTTCTTGTTTTTTTTTTTCTGTGCAACGTTTGAGCCTAGAAAACAGCCTATATCACCAGCATGGATAGCCCGCAGTTTGATCAGCTTGTCTTGAAAAAAAAAAAAAAAACACTTGCCATTTCGTGGTTTCACACACAAAAAAATCACTGTTGGGAGGCTGACATTATATATGGGAGGGGGAAAATATCCTGAAATTTTAGCTTAATCAATCCTTCTATACTAAAGAAAAAAGAAAATTAGGGAGATTGGCGAAGTTTTCTTTACCAAGAAAAAAAAAAACTGTGACATATATGTGCGAGTTCGCCTTCTCTACGCATATATGCCTGTTTTGAATTTTGAAATATCGCTTCTGAACGGCAGTTGCATTTTGTTAACATTGCGCCTCTTCTACTTCCCCCCATTCAAAATAAATTTATTTTGTGTATATAAAGAACGGTTGACGTTCTCGCTTGTTTGTGTCTGACTCTATTCTGTGCTTGTTCATGTAACTTAACAGTCACAATGAATCTAAGCCACCCATTGCACGCTCATCTAACTTCCTGGGACAGAAATTCGTTTGAAAATGTGATAACTAGGCACATGTATACCCCAGTTAGCACGCCTTGTACCCCCTTTCCATTCCTTTCATGGAAGTTGGAAGCCCACGGAAGTTGTATTGATGCGTACAACTTATGCAGAAACATACGGCGAAGACCTGCGGCATAAGTATGTCAATCTACGTATGGGATGAAACATGTGGGCCTGTTATGCTCAGGGAAGCACGAACAGGCAGAACTGGCGCACATATTCCACTGGTAAACGCTTGTTTCGAATGCATCACGTTATATAGGAACATTTGCCGAGAAACAAAGGGGTGGGGAAAGAGTGGTGACGTTCTCGCCGAAACGAGAAAATAAACACCTCTGGTTCTCCGCAAACCAGTGGCGCGTTAGGGTCTCAACATGACGGACGAGCTGTGGTTATGGCATGAGTCCTGCTCCGCACAGAAGGGTATGGGTGTGCACAGCGCCAAGAGGGGACAACGCCAAGAGGGGCCCCCTTTATTCACGGGTGACGCAACGAGGTGCCGTTGTGCTCTCGGAGCAACGCTTGTGCGGCTCTGAAATGAAAGCAGCCGCTTCTTCGCGCATTGCCTCGTGGTGGCGCCAAAGTGAGCGAGGAATGTCGAGCGGAGAGCCTGTGTCAACGGCGTGATCAATCCGCAAGGTCTCTATTATTATCTCCGCCAGGGGCCCTCGTCCCGACGATCGGAGCGAGTTGCACTGGGACGCCTCGAGGGGGGAACCGCGAATCACGGAGCGACGGAGAGGGCGCCTCTCTCGCCGCCGTACCCACCCGCAAGTGGGCGGAGCCACCCACCCGAGGAGGCGAGGCTTCTGACGTGGGGGGCGGGTTCATTAATATTGTGGTTCTGCCGCTGGAAAAAAAAAATAAAGATAGCGCCTTCAGAGCAGCAGCGCCGGCGTGCTTGGGAAACAATTTGCGCAGAGAAAAGGAGAGGTGGAGAGAGGGCGCGCTGGAACAGGTAAGCCAGAGGGAGAAAAAAAGAAAAAGAGAGAGAGAAACCACCGTGTGTTTGGAGGGCGGGGCATCAAGTGCTGGGCGTGACCGAGGGCGGTCGCGGCATGCGTAGCCGGCTTGCCGGGCACAGTGGCGGCCGAGCGCGGCTGCTGTACGTGCAGCGGCGTGTCTGGATGCGCGCGCCCATGGCGCTGGACTTGGAGAAGCAGCGGGCGCCGAGCCCCGGCCGCCCGGGCTCGCCGGCTTCCTCCGAGCGAAGGCTAAAGGTGACTGCGGATGGGGCATCGGCGCCGCAGCAGCATCAGCAACCGGCCGCCCAACCGGCACCGGCGGCCGGATCAACGCCGCCTCTCAAGTTCTCCATCGAACGGATCCTGTCGTCCGAGTTTGGGCCGACCGGCGGCCGCAGTGTTCCCACAGCCGCCGCCGTTGCCAAGGGATCGCAGCAACCTCGCAAGGAAGACCGCACCATCAGTGAGCGTGCCACGACACCTCCGCAGCCGAACAACCAACAGGGACTGCTGTGGCCCGCGTGGGTCTACTGCACGCGCTACTCGGACCGACCGTCTTCAGGTGAGCGGACGTTCTACACTTGCATGCGGGGACGGGGAACACGTGAAGGCGCCGTTTTCCAGCGAAGTGCTGGACGCACACGGCGGAGAACACACGGTTGTCAGCTTTCTCGTCAGCTATTAAATTTGCTACACGTCGTCTTCAGCAGACGGAGGTTACGTCTTCTTCGCCTGTGTGCCATCAAGGAAGTGAAACTCGTCTACACACCGTTTGCAGAGTACGATATGTCACGAATAGAAAGGCGCAGTAGTACAGAATTCAGGTATGCGGTATCCATGGCAAATAGTGCAGAAGTGCACATTTCCATGGACGTGAGAGGACGAGACAGTGACATGTCCCTTTGTTTTAAGTTGGAAGATGTGAGACGCAATTGGAAGTCACTATATATGTAATGAACATGGCTTACTGACCTCCTCCTCCTCTGTCAAGTGCGGGAAGTTTAACCACTTAAACGATTGCAAGTTTGGTCAGTGCGATGACGTACATGGTCTGTGGCACATGTTTACATACGCGGGACCTCAACATGGGTGCTTGCAATTTGAACGAAACCAAAACAGTGGTGGAATTTTTTTTTTCAGAATGTCAAACCGTAATAACATAGAGAACGAAATTTCTCAAGTGTGCTCTATGTTCAGTATAGCTTCACAACTCACGGGTCCATATATGAGGGCGGTTTTTCTTGCAGCTAGTGCATCAGAATTCCGTGAACCTGAACACAACCCGTAACAGACGCGCATTCTATGCATTTGTTCTCTGTTGGATGCACTATAATATTTCATCTATTTCTGAACAAAAGGCGTCGAAAGAGCAAAATCAATATATGAACTTACAAGCATCACAGAATACCAATATCAGCGGTGAATCCATACACCGTCCACGCTTGCAGCTGTTGAAGTTCGAAACCTCGTACAACTTCTCAGGATGCCGTATAGTCGACGCATCTAAAGCGTCTTATATATCGCAAACCAGTTTTGTCACACTGACGACATTCTCCGGATAAATAACCTGATGCCTTGATGCGTGCGTAACAACAGCAGAGAGCTTTCAAAGGCATTCGCTTAAATATATATATATATATATATATATATATATATATATATATATATATATATATATATATATATATATATATATATATATATATATAGCTTGCACCGAGGTGGCTCCGCAAGGACATGCACGCTATACCAAGGACTGTTATGACCCTCAACAAGTGAGGGTTGACAGTATTATTAAATAAAAAAAATAAAGGCACACTTTTCGTGCGGACGAAAATGTTCCGTGGTCGGCGAAAATCCGACTAGGCAGAAGTTGCTGCCTTCCACGGAGCTTCGCGATAAAAACATGCACTGCACCGACGACAACTGCTGGGAAAGAGTCTTGTCGGGACCACTCTCGCTAGCGATTTCCCTGAGCGGGCTTATCTTATCGCACGTACACGCAAGTCGGCCAGTTTGCCGCGGTTTATAATCAGGCTGAAACGTGCTCCCGAGAAGATTGAGCTTGCGTGGCCTCCCTCAGTTATGGCGGGAAAGTATATATACTCTTCGCGGAACAAACCACGAACACGTGTCTCTAAAGTGTTGTGAATCGGACAGTGCGTCGTAAACTACCGCGATACAGCATACACAAAAGAGAACAAAAGACAGCGCCGACTTGAAATAATTTATCAGATTCATTTTCTTACACATCTATACAAAGAGGGTCAGCGACTTCATTGCCGAAAAGCACATGCAGGCTATAACCACCACCTTGGAAGAATTGATCACAACAAGAATTGTAACTATTTATTGGATGACATAATAGACGCCGAACAAACGCATTGATCCCATATAACCTCCGATTCACTTCAGCTTCTCACGTATGTTTGTCCTTATATATGCTTACTATATATGTGCGCTATAGGGAAGATTGGCTTACACAACCCTGACATTATGTAGGTACGCGTCCTAATCCTTCAAGTGCGATGCAGTGTTCGTTTCATAATGCTACACCAACAAGCCGAAATTTTCATTATTGTAATTTACATATCGTGTCTGCCCCGATCCATTCGGTGTGTGCAAGCGCTTAGCACAATGCGCATCAAGACAACACCTTAGATGAAGTAGATAAGTGCATCGTGCAATGTAAGTTCAGTTGTACTGATGTGTAAACGGTATACAGTCAATTGTTTCGGTTCGTCACAATGAGGGTTCTGCAGTCATGAGGACCGAGAGTCGAATAAGGCCTCTCTTTATATCGAGTTGAGAAGAGCAATTAAAATAGCAAACAAATAACGCCGTCTCGACTCACTGCACTCAATATCCACAATTTAAATTTTACAAACAACGCTTGCAACCTCTTGGCGAATTTCGTTTCAGATTGAGCACTGATCGATATCCTCATATAATTTTTTTTTTCGTTGTGTATAGAGCAGATCACAAATCGCATGTGCGTTTTAAGTGTACGACATCGCATTCCTGCAAGAAAATGCATCGCAAGCGCATGTGTATAGAGATTTTGCAAGAAAGCAAACGCAAGCAACACAGCTGCAGCTGTTATTGTTTGGGGGAAAGATAGCTCGAATACAAAAGCACAACTGTTTTTATTTATTTATTTTTCAATGTATGGTGACGCACTTTCGGACGCATATATAGCTCGAGACAACGTATTGTCGAAACGACAGCGGCCATAACATCACCTAAAAATTAAGGAAGATAAAAAATTACGCGAGGTATATAAGCAATAGTAAGCGATTTATGACTTATGATGCTACTTGTGATGCACGATTTATGACAGACGCTGCTCAGCAGCAACTGCATGGTTGCAATTTTGTCATGTTATTTATATGTACACAAAAGAGCTTGCAAGTATACGCATTTGTGCTCAAATTTATGGAAGTTGGCTGTTAGATGATGCTATCAATTGATCCGGTGGTGATAGTTGATCTGATTGAAACTTGTTCCATATACATGTACGATCTCACAGACGTATGTATACCCAAGGGCTGGCACGCCTGGCACGTTGAGCTGCCGAAATTTATCTCTGCGGTGCAGATATGTTGAAACAAACGAGGAAAAAAATTCGTCAGCAAACATTCACATGCATGTGGCACAATTGAGCGCCTACGTAAATATTTATCTGCTAGTCGTTTTTGCACGTGAACGATCAGCTGCACAACCGCGCTTCTTGTTAGTTGGCACATATGTACTGTGTACAGTATATGGCATATATAGCCTATATGTGTATCGCTAACATGGTGCAGAGCCATATAGGGATAAGTTGGCAGATGTATGGGGTATCGAATATTTCGTCATACGTTAATGCGACATTACTAACTGCAAAAAAAGAGTGAAATAATACAAGAAAAACTATAAACATACGACGTCACTAACGTGTAGTATACAAGCAAACAGAAAGGAGATCAGCAATACCCCTAACGAATAATAACAAACAGGGCACGTATGCGTAATCGAAGTTCGTTTACACACACACACACACACACACACACACACACACACACACATATATATATATATATATATATATATATATATATATATATATATATATATACTACGATTTTATTGAAAAGACTCGTTACATTCCTCTGATAACTCATATATATATATGCTCGCGTTCGCGCTGTGTTGTAGCAGTCGTTCTCGACATGTATATTCAGAACGTACATAATGGTGCAAGGAGCAAGCAGTGATACAAGGCGTGCACGCACTCATTCGTGCTTCACTCCAATTAATGGCCGTGAGAGTGCAAGTATATATACGAGAAATTCGCCCGCGGCCATCATTGATACAATAACGTGTATAGACATGTGTTGAGATTTGCTGCACATCGTTATATCCTCGGCACAACTCATTTATCCTCCGCGACAAGCGCTATATAGCTATAAAGCGATGCTCAAACAGTATACATATAATGAGGCAGCGTGTGTGTGTGTGTGCGTGTGTGCGTCCGTGCGTCCGTACGTGCGTGCGTGCGTAATCATAGCCGATGTGACGATGATACGTGCGTGCGTGTGAACGCGATGATTCTATGTACTGCATGCAGCGCTCGCCTTCATGTGTGTACACAAAGCGGCCCTCTGATTTGCACACGTTCGAAAAGAGTTTTTCCCGCGCGCCTTAAATCCATCTGCATGCCGGAGCTGACGTGCACAGCTATAGGCGACGGGGAAACGCAAACAGACTCGTCCTCCGACGCGTATTTGACGACTGCCGTGTGAGTTAACACACGCGGCCGAGCGCAGGCGATGAATCGATTGAGTGGATTCGCCTACAGCAAACATTGGCGCGGAGCGTTGCGTGCCAGCTTCTAAAGAGGCTGTAATTTCCCCCTTTTGCTTGCTTTTTATGGGCGCCTATATAAAATGCACGCATAGAAACAAAGCGAGGCCGTTTTCTATATAGCGAACTGCCGTGTTCGACAGTTGTGTGCATCTGCTGCGCTCTTCGCGCGACAACGAATTAGCGAGCGCGCATCAATATATGTATTTATATAAACAAAACTGCAGTGATTATCGCTCCCCAGTGATCGTAACGTGTGATTAAACGCTCTTCGCGGTAGACCATTGTTTGCAGAGCTTGTTCTTTTGTTGCAGGAAGGATCGTGCACGCGAGAAATTCCGCGCTCGCATGCACGTAATTACAGTTGAAAAAAAAAAGAAGTCTTATTACGATTTCTTTATTTCATTATCACACGTTGTATTACATGCGTCTTGAAGCTATTTCACTACTGGTAAATGACCGCAAACGCTGCCCCTGCATATATATGTTGTGCGGGTTGGAAGCAGAATAAAAAATAAAAAGCTGCTACAACATAAGTGTATATACGCATGCTTACATATAGACGTTGTCTGTAAACAATTCATCGCCAACGGACAAGTGGCTTGTCATTGCAATTGCACTGTCGAAGTCAGAAAATGGACACTTTCAAAAATATGCATGCGCCGTATATGACAACCAACTATATATACTGAAGATCGTATGGAATTTAGCGCTTCT